CCGAAAATGATTGGAACAGATTGACCGGATTCATGAAGCTTGATGACATGGAATTTCATGACTGTAAACGTTGAGGATGCAGTCAGTGGGATGACAATGGTATCATCACTCAAACGAAAGCTTCTTGTGAACTATCAGAAGAAGAGGATGAGGAAATCGAAGATTTACCGCTCAATGTTACTAACAAACAAGCACTTTCTGTAGTGGATATTGTAAGGAGATTTATTGAGAGGCAGCCAAATATGTCAGGGGAGACATTTAAAGCCATAGTCCACTTAGAAAGAGTTATAGACAAACTTTCTTACACATCTCTAAAGCAAACAACAATTGAATCTTTTTTTAAATGAAAGTGTAAAAAGTGTTTTTAGAATACATATGGAATAGTAAATAAGGTATGTAAAGAGCATTTTTCTTTATTCTACCATCGATCACATGCGATTTTCGATAATTCGGATTTTCGATATCTCAAATTTTTTTCTCCTCTCCCTTCAAGTTCGAGATATCGAGGTTTGACTGTATTTTAAATATAAAGTATTGCAAATATATTCATTATAGTGAAAAAAACAAAACATGGTCAGAAACATATATTAAAAATAAACATGGATTAAAATTTCAAAAAACCACTTTGTTTTATGATACTGTTATGAGGTAGTTGTTTCCTGTAGAAAAATCCTGAAAAGGTCATGAACTCAAAAGTTTGAATATAATTTAGTCTATTATTTGACGCAATATTGTATCTTAAATTCTAAGAGCATCCTAAATTTAATGTCAATAAATTATTAATACTTCAATAATAGCATAAATAAAATTAATTTGAATCATTTATCATTTTTTTATAAAATAAAAAAAAAAATACTTTATGAAAAATAGAGAAACTAAGATGTCAGAAATTTTCTGTTCTTATTTCTATTTTTCAATAATTAATAATTTAATTTAACTTCATATTCTTTTGATAGTTTCAAATAATTATTCTTTTAATTATGTTGTTTTCAAGTACTAGCTGTTGTTGAAATTTTTTTTTCTATTCCTAAAATTAATTTTATAGATTCTGTTGATACTATCACAGAAAACTCTACTGAGTATTTTAATATCACTGAAAGAATAGAAATGGTAAGTAAAAAACATTTTCCTATGTAGTTCTTCTTTAAAATTTTATTTTTGTCTTAATATGTGCTATTTCTTGATTGCCCATAAGTAATGATCTGCAATTGTATATCAAATATTTATTCAATAATATTTGAGTTATGCCTTTTTTATATATACAGGGTTGCCACAGGCGACTAAAATGCAACTATTTTCAGCATAAGGCGACTATGGCAACTTTTTTTGCCTAAAAAGGCTAAAAAAAGCAACTATTTTCAGGAAAAGGAGACTTTTCTGNAACAATACCTTTTCAGGTGAATATGCGATATTTTTTTCCTGAAAAAGTAATAAATTATATAATTTGTTTCATTAATTATTATTTCTCAAATAAATGGCATAATCATTATTAATTTTCATATTTTATTTAAGCATCTATTAAAAGCTGAAGTCTTTTCATAAGACTTTTTTTTTTTTCATTGACGTTAATTTTTTAACAATTTCAGATGCTAGACAATGTTTCTTAAAAAATCTGTAATATCATGTGCTTTCCAATCTTAAGGTTTATAAATTGATACTCTTAGAATAACAGAACCTTCAGAATAACACCAAATGAGCGAGTGGCGCCAATTTCGGTGTATCATCTGGCAACCCCCTTGGACAAAAATATGACGCCAGCGCATGCGCTCTTGGATATTGTCATCACTCTTTTCAATACTATCTAATCACTCTAGTAAAATGCTATGCACTCTAGTAAAATGCTATGCACTTTCTTTGGGATATAGTGCCCATATTAAGTTTCCGGTGCACTGCCGTTAAGGTCTAAAATATTTGGACAGTGATACACAAATTTCAGTGTTGAGGTTATATGATACAGAGCTTGTATTATAATTATAAATAAATAACTTTGTATAATCACTATTTGAATAAAGCATTTATTTTATTTTTAAAGGGAAAGATGGCCATGCTGTTTTTTAATAAAAGTAAGTTAAAAAATTTTATTCTTAAGCTATTTGTTCTTTTTTTTTTGCCTAACGTTTGTAATATAATATTTAAAAAAAAAAATTTTTTTTTTCAGTTGGTGTTAACATTTTCTACGTTTGTATCGCTATATATTTATATGGAGATCTTGCAATCTATGCAGCAGCTGTTTCAAAGTCTTTGAAGGATGTAACATGGTGAGAAGAACTTTTTTTTTTAATTGAAATTCCTTAGCATCTTGAAATTCTTAAGTCTAGCATAAGCTCCAAAAATGTTTGGAAGTAAAAATGCTTACAATAATTTCTTCTTGATTAATATTTTGAGTATACTTTAAACTCTTTTTTTTAAGACTCTTTTTGTTTGTCCAATAACAGGGTGGCCCCCCACCTGGAATTATCAGGGAATTGTTTTTGTTCTGGAAAAAACCTGGAAAAATCTAGGAAATTTAGATATAAACCTTGAAAAATCAGGGAATTTTAAAGAAAGGCTGGAATTTTTTTTTTTAGATAATTTTTTAATTTCACTAATTTAAATTATTTACTAATTTTCTTAATTCAAATTATTTCATCCATTCTACCCACTTTTTTTAGACGGAAATATATTGCCAAACAGTTGAAATATCATAAACTTAGTGATATTTTGCTTAGATCAAAATTTGCTTGTACAGCTCTGTTAAACTAGAATGTCACATAAAATCTCCCACGGCTGCTAAATGAATGTAGAAACCTTTTACTGCTATGGGACTGTGCAATTTAGTAAAATTCTGGCGGAGGTGGAAGGGATTAGGATATTTGTTTCTGTTTTTAAATTCTGTCTGTGGGCTGAATCCATTTAAGGCTCAAGTTTGTTCTGAAGCTTTGGTGGCAATTTTTTTCTATTTTGACAAAATGATTCGATATGTTTTTGTATTTTTAACTTTGGGAAATTCTCCAAAAATTAGTTGGTTATAATTTAATAATAATAGATTTTATATTGCATTCTATTTCTTCTGAAAGCTTTTGTACTCCCATTCAAAGAAATTTGTGAATTATTTTTTCTCAGCAAACCAACCAATCACACATTTTTTTTTACAATCGCTAACAGCAATGTTTGTCGACAAATTGTTACAATTGTTGCATTAAGGCTAATTTTTCTATTTCATTTTAACTTTTTATAGCCTATTTTAATTTCTTAAATAAATTAAAGGTTTTTTTAAGAACTAAGTATACATTAATATTTAATTTTACTGTTTTGTTCGTAAATATTTGATCTGTATAGTTATGTTGGTAAATATTTGAATAACGTTTGTTGGTAAATATTTTATTTGTATAGTTAAATTTGAATTGTATAGTTATCAACAATATCAGAAGTTCGTGAATGTTGCTTACTTTCCAGAGGTGATATTTTCAAAACTATTCCTCCTGTTACCCTGAAAAGCTGACAAAGACTAAGGAATGTATAGGAAATATATTAAATGATGTATAAACATAAAATATAATTTTTTTTTTATTCATATGTGTTAAGTACAAAGAAGGAAAACGAGACTTAGTGTTTTAGTTCTGCACTGTACAAGACTCTAGTTGTTAAAACAAAAACAATTGACTATACTAAACTAAAAAACTATGTGTTTAGATTGGAATTCTTTAAATATTTTAATTTCATATAAGAAAAAAAAGTATAAAATTTAAAGAATTTTATCTTTTTTTTCTTTTTTAGTTTAAACAACAAAAAATTAAACAATTTTACATTTGTGACATTTATTTTTGGATACTGAAGCTCTTAAAATAATAATGCTAATTAAAAAAAAAAAACACTATTTAAAAAATTTAACTTGAGATATTGGTTTGAAGAAAATATGATCAATTAATTTTTTAAAAAGTACTGTTAAGATAAAATACAGTTTACAGTACAGCTTTATATTGAAATGTAAATCCAGTGACTCGCAAAAGTGTTGGTACACTTATGACTTTAAATGAAATAAGATTATTCATTAATTAAAATGAATATTTCAGACTGGATATTTAATAATAAAAAAATATATTCTATTCTTAGCAAAACTGCATGGAATATTTTAAAAACAAAGCAAAAGTTTATTTGTAAGAAATCAATCGTCAAAAAGTAACAAACACTTTATCGCACAAAAGTCATTGTACACTTTCGAAAAAATCTCTGCCTATTAGTAAATATTCTAATTAGTAATATTTAGTAGAGTTTCCTTTCACATCTAGAATAGCTTTTATAAGTTTGTAAATAAATGTAACTTTTTTTTTTTTTTTTTTGTCTGGTCAAATTCGAGCAGAATTTTTTTTATAAAATTTTACAAAAACTTTTTCAGCACTCGATTGTAAATTTGTGAATTTTTCCACAAATTTTATAATTTTAATCTCTGATATGAAGTCCTTCTTTTAAACATTTTATCGCATATTACACAGTGCAATAGGACACAATATATCAATTTAACAATATTCATTATTGATTTACCTTTTATGATGACAAATAATCAACTTTCAAATTTGGTCTATTGTTTTATTATGACCATGAGGCGTTTTTAAATGATAAAAGAAAATATTGCAGTGAAACAAAAATTAAAATATAATTTTTCTATCTCAAATTTGATACTAGATTGCAAATAAATATTTAAAAAATTAAATGAACAATAATTAAACAAAAAAAATTAAAGCAACAGATGATAATTTTAATTCTGAAATCAGAAAACATTTCATTTTTGTTACTATATTTGATTATTGATATCTTAAAAATAAACTTTTGCTTTGTTTTTAAAATGTTCCATGCAGTTTTGCTTAAGATTAGATTATACATCTTATCTGAAATATTCATTTTAATAAATGAATTTTTATTGCCTATTTAAATAACAGTTATAAGTGAATGAAGACTTTTGGGAGCCACTATAATTATAAAAATTTATTAATATATAATCACCTGAAATGGTTTTCCTTTTTGTTTAATGAAAATATATTAAACAATACCTATCCAAGGTCTTATTGGTCATTCTTTTTTGCAATTTTCTAGGTACACTTTGAGCAAAAACTACTTAAAGTAACACATTAAAAAAATTTTATTCAATAAAAACAATATATTCTACAAGCTAATTGTATTTTTTCTCCACATGTTTTAATATCCTAAAAATTAATGTTGGATCAAAACATTAAACAGTAAATAAAAAATCTTGCAAAATTGTCAAAATAAATTATTTTTTTCAAGATGATATGTTAAAAAAATATGATTTTAAATAAAATATTTTATAATCTAGACACTTTTTTTGTGCACATCCTGCACTTTATAAGGAAAAAAAAGCGCAGATCTGGAAGTTCAAGATTTTTACTTGGAAAACCTGGAAGAATCAGGGAAATTTGAAATCTGATTTGAGTGGCCACCCTGAATAATATACACTAGATCACAGACATTGCAATAAGTATAATTGGGTGCTTGCACTCCAAGAAAAAGGAGACAACCCTTACCCACACATGTAACCTATGACATTAGCACCAGCTAATCTTTATTAGCAAAATGACATATTAAAGTTTAGCTTGCATAAGTTAGAATGTTAATTAACAATAAGTGATTTTTCCCTACGATTTTCGACTGCATTTGAAACATACTGTATAAGTAAATTACAAAAGAATTTACAAGATTTTTGTAGACAGCAGTATTTTATTTAGTTTGTATTATTATTCCTTCATGCAAATTTTGTAAGATAAATGATGCAACTAAATATAAATAAAAAATTAATTGATATTTTGAAGCTTAGCATAACGTAATATTTTTTATAAAATTTTTTGATACCTGCAGATAATTACCAATTTTTTTTAAAAAGGAAGATTCAATTTGAAATTAGTTATAGATTAGGATAATGCTTTGGTTGGCTAATGCTACATTCATACCTCTCTCTGACTAAGCATCTTTGAAATAGTTACAAAGTACTTCACTTTGCTATATAAATCTAATTAGAACTCAGGAATCCTTAAATAAATGTTGAATTAAATCAGTAATTTCATTTTCAGTGGGGTATGCAAATTTTAATTCAAGTTTCTCAGCATGAATATTTAAAGTTTTTTTTTCTTTCTATGCTTCATAGTATTTATACGCCAAGTGGAGCTTGCAATGTTACAAAGAACAATTCTATTTCTTGTTGGAATCCTGATATTCCAGTCACCAGAGGAGATGCTTACAGAATTTATTTGGTAAGTTAAATTTTTTTGAATTTATTTGATTGTGTAAGTCTTGGAGCTAAATAAAAATTCGTAATTTAATAGGTATATTTAAAATAGCAACCATGCTCTTTAGTAAACTTTAAATAACTAAAATTTTAATAATCTTTAGTAACTGTTTTATTTAATACATATTTGGATAAACAGCTCACCAGTTGAAATTCTCAAATTTATTAGAGATTATTCAAAGCCTTTCTGATAAAATGGTTTACTGTTTAAATACTGGATATTTTGTTTTACTTCGATGAAATGTTCAAAACAATTAAAAATTCCTTTCTATTATATTCTTAAGCCTAAGCATGCTTAATAAGGTGTAGTATTTTGGTTGAAATGAAAATTTATGATTCAAAACGGACCTCACTAATAAAAATGTAGATTAAGGATGCTTATTATTGATTTATAAAAAGATATATGGATTATATATTATCTTCTAAACATTCATGCAAATGAAACCAAAGGCTGTTTTGAAAGATAAACTACACTTCAAAATAATTTATAGTCTGTAATTGAGCCTATGCTTTAAAATGATAGAAAAAAATCAAATGGATAACTGACTAATGGTCAATGGCAGTTTTATCCAATATTTTGCAATCACTAATTCAATATACAGTCTTTATAAATCCATAATGACCATTCGTAATATGCATTTTTATTAGTGATGTCCCTTTTGATTCATAAATTCCAATTTCAACCGAAATACTATATCTTATTAAACATGCTTAGCCTTAAGAATATAATAGAAAGAAAGTTTAATTAGTTTTAAACATTTCATTAAGGTAAAACTAAATATCCAGTCTTGAAACAGTAAACCATTTTATCAGAAGGGCTTAGAATTATCTCTCTTAATTTAAGCTCATAAATTTGAGGGTCATTATGGATTTATAAAGACTGTATATTGAATTAGTGATTGCAAAATATTGGATAAAATTGCCATTGGCCATTAGTCAGTTACCTATTTTCTTTTTTTCTATCATTTTAAAGCATAGGTTCAGTTACAGACAATAAATTATTATTAAATGTAGTTTATCTTTCAAAACACAGTCTTTGGTTTCATTCATATGAAGGCTTAGAAGAGGACCGAACAAAATATTGTGCAGTAATAAAATGTTTTTATTTATGGTGGTTAATTATTTTCTTCTTCTTCTATATTTTGCCTTAATTATAATTTCCCCTCACTAGACATAACAAAATCACCCCAGTTTTAAGTTCTATGCAAAATATGTTCCCTAAATATTTCAATAAAGGCAACTTTACTATTAGGTTCTTACATTTAAAATGTCAGATTTTTTATTGTGATATTAAATAAGCATAACTTAAAACTATTTTAATAATCGAAGTAAAGACCATCACAATCAACACATTTTTGCCAACATGTCTCTAGTTTTTGGAAACCACTTTCAAAAAATTTGGCTCTCTGGTGTGAATAAAAGATTGAAAGTCATTTTTAATCTGTTGTAGATTGGTGAACTTACTTTCTCGGAGAAAGTTGACCTAATGTTTAAAAAAATCATAATGTTTAAAAAAAAATGATAATGAGATGTATGTCCCCCTCAATTCCTATTCTTCTCCGAATACTTTATAATACTCCACCCCCCNCCCCCCCCCCCCAATAATAGCTAAAAATAACATTTTCATGAATCATCTTTGAATTAAATTCAGCTAAATTAAACTTACTATAAATGCATGAATTTCAGATTTGAAAAAAATCATACAGTTCTAATAATTTTTGTTAAATCACTCTTTGTGTCATTTACCCCCCGACACCAATTTTTATAAATTTTATGAAATTTAAAATGTTTTTAAAAAATAAATAAGTAACACATTGTGTTACATCCTACCTACTCTGTTTTTTATTTTTAAAGAATTTTTAAACATATGAAAGTTATTAAAAATTGGTGTAAATGTAAATTACCCCAAGTGTTATTTTTACATAAATTATAGAAACTACTTTTTTTTTTAATCGATGTGTTCTTAAAGTTTACATATATGACATTTGTAAATGATGGAATCGACCCTAAGAATCTTTTGAATTTTATGGCTTTGCTATGAATATTTTTCATAATTTTGTGATTTTATTGTTATTACTCTTTGTGAATTATTTGAATGAATAATTCCTGAATTTTTTTCACAGCTTTCATTTTTGCTTTTACTTGGACCTTTTACATTTTTTAATGTTCAAAAGACCAAATATTTACAAGTCTTTACTTCATTAATGAGATGGTTAGGTAAATATATTTTATTTTTTATGAATCTTTTTGTCTTGAAATTAATTTGTCTCCCTGGAAATTATATGCTAAATATGACTAAATCTTTTTTTATATATATTTTAAATTATCGCAAGCTAAACCACTTTTATTATATATTTTTACCTTTTTGGAATAATATATATTATAATCTTTAAGAGTAATTCTATAACTATTTGAAATAAAAACTAGGTTTATTATACAAATATATATATATAGTTCTTTCGCCAGGAGTTGGCTCCGCTTTAATCACATGGTATTCGACGATACTATTTCGCTATTTTTGGGAGAAGGATGTGAACAATCCTGAAAAAGATTGCTATTTGACGATCTTATGACAAAAATATTTATCTTCCAATCTTTATGTGAATTTTTTTCTTGTCTCAATTTCAAGCACGGAGACGTTTCTCTTCTTACTCCCTGCTCTGAAATTAACTCTTTGTCTGAGGAGATGGAGCCAAGTGCCAACTCCTGGTGAACGAACTATATATATATATATATATACTAACTTTCAGACTGTCTTATGCATGAGGCACTTCAAATAATTATGTTTATGGACAGTTTTAGTGTGTATTTTAGATAACAAATAGCTGTTTCTGACATATTATTACTGCATTCTCATAAATAGATATTACTTATAATATCTAACTTCATTAAAGTTTTTAATTCACTAAACACACGACTAATTATGTTTCTATTTCAGCATTTTCTACCATGATAATCCTGGCAGCTACAGCTATAATTAAGGGAAAAGGTAAGGGACACCCACCTATTGCCAGCCTCAGTGGCGTGCCTAACTTATTTGGAGTCTGCGTGTATTCTTTCATGTGCCACCATTCTCTCCCTTCACTCATCACTCCAATTCGTGATAAAAGCCGCATTTTTCGGCTTTTCGTGATTGACTACTCTCTCATTCTCGTCTTCTATTGCCTTCTTTCATTTACAGGCATTTTTGCTTTCGACCAAATCAGAGATGTGTATACCTTGAATTTTGAACCCCAAAACTGTAACACCTCTTCCACGGAGGAAAGCATAGTGCCAGAAAGCGCAGACTTTCTTCGATATTTCCTCGCTCTCTTTCCTGTGTTCACATTGAGCACAAACTTCCCAATAATTGCAATAACTCTGCGAAACAACCTAAAATCTATTTTTTTAAATGATAACAGGAATTATTCATTTTTTGTTCAGAAACTTCTGTTCCCCCTTCTGGCTGTGGTGCCGCCTATGGCCATTGCTTTCATCACGGAAGACCTGACTATTCTTGTAGGAATCACTGGATCTTATGCGGGGGCTGCAATTCAGTATATAATTCCTGCACTTTTAGTTCTTTACTCCAGAAAATCTATCTTAGCATCATTAGGAGTGGGCGTGACAAACAGACATGCATCTCCATTTCGGCATGTGGCTTGGATTTATTTTGTGTTGTTCTGGGCAGCAATGTGCATTGTTTTTGTAACTGTTAATCATATCATCACACAAAAATAAATACTGACATCCATTGTAAGAAACGTACAATTATTAGGAGTTTGAAAACCTTTAACCGAGCTAGTCATATAATGAAATATATCTTTTATTATTTCAATGAAATGTAGTAATATGATAGCTCTATAATTTTTATGGAAATATGTACAGTCGAACCCCGCTATATTGAATCAGGGATATATAATGAACACTTGATTGTGATGAACATTTTTAGTGATCTCTTATGAACTCTCATTTGAATGACATTATTTTTAAACGTTTATAGTGGGCAACTGAAAGATTAATGGTAATTCACTTATAGTTGTCTCTAATTTCATTTTCTCAATTTTTTTCATCTTAAGTTTGCAGGAATTGTGATTGTGTTGTGTCAAATTTTACTCTTTCATGTCCTTTGCTTTTAAACTAGCACAAACAAGCTGTTAAGCAGAAAATTTGATATCTTTTATCCCAGAAGTGAAATTGGCATTAAATATTCTGAATTGTTTTTTTCTTTGCAGAAATTGTTGACTAGGAAATTCTTCACTCATTGTTGATAGGAAAATTGGTGAACTCTACTTAAAATCAAATTGTAGTTAATCAAAAAATCAATTAGTTAGGTTAAAAAATTAATTAGTTTCATTTTTATTTAATTTATTATCTATTAAATAAGGTGATAATTTATAAACAAATTATCTTCGACTGTAATTGTTATTTCCAACAATACTATTGTCATATGCTAAAAAAATAATTTTTCAAAGAATTCGAATATCATGAGACATTATTTATTTATAGATCCACAGACAGTTCACTATAATGGGGTTTAACTGCATATATATAAATAATTTATGCAGTTTTAGTCTCTAAATCAATTACGCAAAAATATATTTTGACTTCCATTGTAAAAAATAGAATTTCTAATCTCATTTAATAAATTTGCAAATCTTTATAACAAGTTTTTGCAGTTTTTAAAAAAAATGCAAGTGTGCCATTACTGTAGAATTTTGATTATTTTTCATTGTATTTTTTGTGCCATTTTTCATAACAATATTTTAATGCAATCTTGTTAATCAGTTTATTGGATTTATGTCATTAAATAAATAACATAATGATAACAATGCAATTTTTTCACTTAAAATTTCAATTCATTTCATTTTTTAAAAATAATATGTTATTTGTAAGTTCATTTGAAAGGTTGGTAATTAAGTCACAAAGTCATCTCTCCAGTTTATAAATTCATTTTAATGTTAATTCCATATTTAGGTTTACAAGTAAATTGCAGGTAGCAAAATATTTATTTTATATTTTAAATTAAAATTGTACTAATATATTTGATAAATGAACTTCTCTTATTTTTTATTTATTTATTGTATTTAAAAAGAAATTTCAGCAATAGTACAATATTCTTCGCTTAAAATTAAACTATATAACTGGAACTGTGACATTCCATATTTTAAATATAATTATTGTTATTTTATATTCAATTATATATTTTTTAATTAACAAAAAATAAATTTTTTCCTTGTGTTGTAGACATGCTTTTATTTTTTTTATTATAAAGTGTATGAGTAAATGTCATTTAATGGTGCCATAATATCTTACCGTTAAAGGAAATTTTGAGTTTAAATGAGTGTGATTGGGTGCTTAAATTTATCTTTTGTTGTGTAGAATATAAACAATATACATATTAGATTTATAAGATGGACGCTTTAATATTTGCTACGACTGCATCTCGTTAATACTCATGATGAAATCGCTTATATCAGGAGCTTGATTTTATTATTTAATTTAGGTCAATCTTATTAGAAACTGTTATTTACGCTCACGATATTTTGTTTATTCTTTCTTGTTAATTTTTTTGTTTTATTTTGTTATTGCGGGTATGCAATTTTTCAAAGAATCTTTATATTTATCGTCTTCTTTCATTCATTGGTTGTTACTGGTTTATTAATAATATGTATATCATTCAATGATGAATTCTGATTTAACTCTATTAGTAGCTTTAACATTATTGAAGTTTTGTTAAGTGTTGAAGAATTTTTTGTAAAAAAATTCTACTTTCTCTATCTTTTTTTTTTTCTTTCAAATTATTTTTTATGCTGTTTTGTTTAATTTACTCTGTTTTGCTAAATACTTGTAATTCTCTATTAGTATTAATCTATTATACCCTAAATTGCCAGTTTATTTTCGAATTTATTAATTTGTAATTATTGTTTTTTAGTCCTTAATTTATTGACTACCTTTAATTAAATGTTTATTGACGCTAGTTTTAGCGGAACCGTCAGTAAGTAAACTAATGAAGCCTGTGATAAATTTAGAAAAAGTAATACTCTTTCTGAAATTTGAAATTAGTGTGTTTCATAAAATTTTAGAATTATTTAACCCAATACCAATCCCAAGTATTTAATACATTGTATATCACTTTCAAAAATCTTAAAATTACACACATACCTAAATTATTAGTTTTGATTCCTTTTTTTTTACATTTTTTTAAAAATATCATTGTTTTTTGAGGAATTTTAGTGATGTTATTTTATGTAAGCATACCTAATTTTAAGATTTATTGTTGAAAAACCATATTTCTTTTTTATATTTAAATAAAAGACAAAATTATTAAAATATCTATCACCATATATGTGATTTATTTCATAAGTGCCTTAACTAAAATGTTATTTTGTTTTACATAATTATATCTTTATGTTCAATTATTTCTAAAACTAGATAAAAGAAACAACCCAGAAATTTAACTTCCAAATTCAATGGTGCTAAAATTTTACCTCTCCTAGCTCTACCATATGGATTATTCTATATTAGAATATTCAATTTTGACATTTATTTGGTCATTAGATAAAATCACATAAAGTCTCTATAAATACATATGAACAAACGATGTTAGCAATATATTTTATCTAGTAATCCTGTAATGAAATTGTATCTTGTAATGTAATTGTATCCTGTTATGTAATTGTATCCTGTAATGTGCTTTAATGTTAAGTCATCAAAATTCAGAAAAACTTTTGTGTAAGAAATGATATGTGTTAATCAGATAATTAACTTTTCACAAAATGTGTCTTCCTGTATTAACAAATTATGAACTATTTTTTAGAAAGAATTTTATTTATTTATTATTATTAAGGATCAATTAAAAATGAAGATGTTTGTATGTTGGAAATTCTTAGCAAACTTCTTAACCTGTACTTTTAGTTAACTCAGCAAAGAATTTTATCTTCCCTTTTAATTTTTACTGTGCTATATATATATATATCACTAGTAATTTTGTAACACTATAGTCACATTCCTATATTTTTGGAAGGAAAGAAATTATTTTAATGTGTATTATAATTATTCCATAAAGTTCTAATTGTATTTTTTATTTATTTACTTTAAGGAGCATTGGAATTTTTGAGCTCTGAAAAAAAAATTCTAATTTTATTTTAATACTACATATTTTCTAGTGTTTTTTTTTTAAGTTATGAACAGCTCTTTATTTATAAAAAGTTCTACATTAAAGTTTAAATTAGATCAATATGTAATATCAAGGAAAATGTAAGAAAATCCCTGATATAATTAAAATATATGCCTGTAACGAAATTGTTAATTATCTGAACGAATTGTTAATTATCTATCTAAACACTTTTGCAGTAGATTATGGGGTTGTACAAATATTACATAATTTAAAAAAGAAGTGTGATGTGTGGTGCATAGGGGGGGGATAAAACAACGGCTAGCTAACTTTTATTTTATTTTAAGCAACATGACTGTAATTAGCACTCAGCACATTCACAAACACAACATATAAAACATATAAGAAGAAGAAAAAAATAAGGACTTCTGCATGGCTGGCTTTCTACCGTTCGTTCACACTGTCTCTCTGTCTCTGAGTTTTATTATTTTTTTTAGTTTCTCGCTAGGGGGCGTTGCTAGTTCCAGTTTCTCCACAGAAAAAGATATTTCTGAGTTAAATATGGAACTGACAAGGGAAGACAGGGTGCATAACATTTTTAAAAAGTGCTTAAAGGTGCTTATTTTTGATTTTTAAAATCTCTTAAAATGCTTTTTTCATTGGCTGTTTGTAAAAAGTTCTTAATTTTCCCTTTTCCAAAATGAGATTTTTTCATTACCATGTTGATTTTCGCTATGAATTATGCAGAAAGGCACTGTTCACATTGTTCTATTCAACGTTTTCATAGTTAATTCAACCCCAATCTATTTCAGTGCATTGTCAGTTCGTAGCGTATGAAAACGCCATCCGATTTACACGATTCAAAAATTTTGTAAATTGTCAAAAACAATGCCAAAAGTTTTTTTTTTTTTGACATGACAGATAGAACCGTCAATTGTCAAAAACTTTCTAAACCTGCTTAATTATGATATTTTTTTAAAGTGCTTAAAAATATTATTTGAGTGCTTGAAAAGTGCTTATTTTTTGTTGAATAATTTGGCTGTGCACCCTGGAAGAGGCAGATTATGAGCAATGCTTACTTACTTATGACTCTTAAATACCCTTATTCTCATTGNATATAACACTAATAATTTTGTAACACTGTAGAAACGTTCCTATATTTTTGAAAGGAAAGAAATTATTTTAATGTGTATTATAATTATTCCATAATGTTCTCATTGTATTTTTTATTTATTTATTTTAACGAGCCTTGGAATTTTTGAGCTCAGAAAAAAAAATTTCTAATTTTATTTTAATACTACTTATTTTCTAGTGATTTTTTTTCTTCTTAAAGTTATGAACAGCTCTTTATTTATAAAAAGTTCCGCATTAAAGTTTAAATTGGATCAATATGTAATACCAAGGAAAATGTAATAAAATACCTGATATAGTTGAAATATATGCTTGTAACGAAATTGTTAATTATCTGAAAGAAAATCTCCATTAAAAACGTGTGATGAATGAACATGGCCAGCTCAAAATTTTTTGTTTCTCTCTATAAATGTTATCATTATAGTCCTGATTATATAGAATAATTGTTTATCCAAACTATTGAAAACTCATTAATGAAATATTTTAGCACTTTACAGTGCAGAACAAAATCTCTTGGAAGATCTAAACACTTTTGCAGTAGATTATGGGGTTGTACAAATATTACGTAAGCATTTAAAAAAGGAGGTATTTCTGAGTTGAATATTGAACTGCCAAGGGAAGACAGGGTGCGTAGCGTTTTTAAAAAGTGCTTAATGGTGCTTATTTTCGATTTTTAAAATCCCTTAAAGGTGCTTTTTTCATTGGCTGTTTTTAAAAAGTGCTTAATTTTTCCCCTTTCCAAAATGAGATTTTTTCTTTACAGTGTTGATTTTCGATACAAATTATGCAGAAAGGTACTGTTCACATTGTTCTATTCAACGTTTTCACAATGAATTCAACCCCAATCGATTTCAGTGCATCGTCAGTTCGTAGCGTATGAAAACGCCATTCTATTTACACGATTCAAAAATTTACTTTCTGAACCTGCCTAAATATGATATTTTTTTAAAGTGCTTAAAAATATTATTTGAGTGCTTAAAAGGTGCTTATTCTTTGTTGAATAATTTGGCTACCCACCCTGTAAGAGGCAGGTTATGAGCAATGCTTACTTACCTATGACTCTTAAATACCCTTATTCTCATTGTTTTTAAGTGCAAAAAAAAATAATAAAAAAATACTCTTATAAAACTTTCAAGCTTGAAATAAAAGTTAAATTTGGGGAAAGTAAAAGTTTGAAAAATATTTCTTTGGAGAGTTTCTAAATTATATAAAGAAACTAACTTATATAAAATAACTTTTTGCAGAGCTAAATTTTTTATCTGAATTTAATCCTAAAATTCTTAAAATTAGATAAATACAGTAAAAATCAAAGCAAAAAGGTTTAATTTGTAGTTTGCTTATTTTTGCTGAAAAAGGTGGCTTCGAAAAAGGTGAAAAATAGGGTCACATAATATTTGAAGGAGCTCTATCTGCTACCCCTTTCCTCTCCACCCCACTCAAAATAAATAATAATAATGAAGTTCCATCAGATGGTCAAATAGCTCTTCTTGAAGCTTAAGCTATAGTAAATAATTGCTACTGTTTTGATTTTTTTTTTTTAAATTTATTAAGGGGACAGTGGACTTTTAAGAAATCTAAAAGGAACTATTTTATTTTCATTAGAATTACAAAGACTCCATTTAAGAAAGAAAACTAATACAGATTCTTGGTAGTTAAAAATTAATTTTTTCAGTGGTGGTGAACTAAAACAGAATGCTTTGAAACTAACAATTTTAATAAGATTATTAGAACTTTTGAACTTAAACATTCAATGATATGATTTTATATGTACATGTTAAAATTACTTCAGTTTGGTGGTGGACAAAATCTTTTTAATTCTAATTCATTAAAATTTAAATGCATTGCTCTAGAAAAATTAATAACAAACTTTTTTTATGAAACTGCGAACAATCCATTGTAGTTGGTATCTCTGTATTTATAGATTATTATTATAATAAAAAACGAATTATTTTTATATGATGTAATCTGTAAAGTCGAATTTTTCTCTGTAAATTTTTTTATGAAATAATTTTAGTTTTCAAATTTTTTGGTCGGAAATGAAGTCTAAGACAAATGTTACTCAAAATTATTTTTATCATTTTTAATACGTACTTTAAAAAAAATAAAATAAATTATAAAAATTTTTTTAATTAAATTTTATGAAAATTTTTTAAATTCATTTACTTTATGATATGTAACATTTATTTTAAACCTCGTTTGTGACCAAATTTTTTAAAAATTTTATGTATGATAAAAAATATATTCTAACTAATATTTTCTCTAATTTTAAAACAAACTTTGCGCATTAAGTATCTTAAGCTAACACTCAAAAACCTTTTTAAAAGCTCACTGCTCAATCACATTTTTGTGTAGTTGCACCGTTTTTTAAAAAAAATTATTTTAAGTTAACTTTTTGATTTATAATGTAGAAAGAATTTTATTTTAATCTGAATTTTAAAAAAATCAAGCTGTATTTTAATACATATCAGGTTAGAAAAAAAATTTTGACAAAAAAAACATTCTTTTTAATGAAGCACATTTCTCTCAAAATGTGGTGATTTGTAAAATTAACTCATTGTTATGCAGAAATGAATTTACCTTGGTCTGTTTTATGATAATAAATTGTATGATAATATCTTTGTATACTTTGAGTATCATTTGTACCAAAGTCATATTTTTGTAGTCATATTTTTTAAATGTGAATAAAAACAGATCTTATTTATCTTATAAAAGTTCGCTTCATTTCCATTTTTAAAAAGTAGGACTTTTTTTTTCTTTTTTTTGTGGCGGTGGTCAATTTCAGATATTTCAAAATGATCAACTATAAAACATATCTTATTTTTAGTTCATTTTTCTGTTAATGCATTCATAAATTATTCAATGGTAAAAAAATAAAATATTTTCAAATAATATACTAATGATTACTTTAAACAATATATTGAAATTTCAATGACCTTAACCATTTTTCTTAAATTAGTTTTGT